CCTTCAGTTTTACATCATATTGATGGATAAGACAAATATATGTGTGTGTGGTTATTTGAAGAGGTAATTAGGAAAGGATCCTGTTGAAGGTAGGAGTTTTTTGATATGGAGGTGAGGAAAGGCATGGAAGCAAGAGGTAACGGTGGTCAGAGAAAAGCAAGTAAGCCAGTCTGTCTGGAAAGTTGAATGTGTTTATGTTGTAAAGGTAAGGTGGAGCCATTTTGTGAAAGGCTTTAAGTGCTGCACTGAAGATTTCTCCTACCCTTACCTCACTAAATGTAGACTAGGCTCCCTCCTGGAAGAGAAGGTAAAGGGATTTGAGGGATGTCTCTCCACACTCCTAGTTGTTAGGCACAATGATGGGTTCCCAAAGAAAACAGAAGTAGGATTCTAATGGGGGAAAATGGAGAAATAGAGACTTCACTCTTGTTAGACGTTTGAAGATTAGAAGTATCACAAAGAAAAGGAGGGAAAAGGACAGAATTCAAACAAATAAAAACATTTTTTGAAGTTTTTTCTGAAGAGCAAGATGAATAATGTGAGAAAGAAGCAGCACCTTGCCCTCCAAGTAATGATATCATTTTGCCATAGTCATTAAGGATCACAGGAAAAAGCAAAAAGATGTAGCGATTGGTAATTTCTTACTGATGGGTACTAAGGCATCGATTCGTTAATCTAATACCAGCAGAAAATCCTGTTATTTTCTTGGTATGTATTGAAGACAAACTTCTGAACTCTTATCAAAATTGATGACTACTTCACACTTCCAGTGATTAGCCTGGGCATAAATGTGACTGTCAGAAGGAACCTTAAAAATTATTGCTACAAACTGAAGACCTTAAGGCACAGGTTGTGTTTTCCTTACTGTTGCCAAGGAAGAGAAGCAAAAGAGAAAAATTGAGTTAGGAAGCAAATGGTGGCTAAGGAGGGAGTGCTTGAAAATGGGTTTTGAGCTTCTCAACAATGGCTTAAAATATAGGGATGACAGATTCCTGCCCAGGGATTCAGTACACCAAATCAAGATTAGTAAGATTGTATTAACAGGTTTCCCTGCAAATCTAATCAAAAGGGCTTTAAGCTATAAAAATAAAGTAGAAGGGAAAATGCCTATGTAGATCTGCCAATCAGATATTATGGAGAGTAGCAACAATGAAGAAAAATAGTATTTCAGACAAGAATAACAAGAGGAAGATATTCAAGAAGAGAGCCAAGAGTAAAAACTTATGACCTCAGATGTCTAAATACAGTTTAGATAAAAAGCAAGAAGTAGATAAGTGTACTAATGTAGTGCAAGTAAGCAAATTTGACATCTTAGGTACCACTGAGATTTGATGAGATGATACTCATGATTGGAATATGATTATGAAAGGATAATATGCCTTATTCAGACAGAACAAGATAGACTAAAGTGGGTTGGGGTTGGGTAGCATTGTGTGTAGTATAATAATGTGAAGCAATCCAGGAACTCGAGAAGGAAAGCATAGCATTTGGGTAAAGATCAGTGGAGGTGGAAACAAGTGATTTTATCATTAAGTATGCTATAGAACACCTGAACAAAAAGGTTAAAAGAGTTAGGGAGATAGATCTCAAGCCTAGCACATAGGTATAATTTGGTAGCAATTTCAGTTATAGTGAATTTAGTAAGGGATCATCCTATCTAGAAATCTTTTGGAACTCTGCCAAAAGCAGAACACTTAATAATTTCTTTACTCTCCTTAATGATAATTCATCTTTCAAAACCAGCAAGGGGAAATTGTATACTGAGTGTGATTCTGACAGTGAGATTTTGGGTGTTGGAGGTAAGAATGATGGGAATTTTGTGGGTTAGGAGATTGACTACTTCATTCCAGAGTTCAGGATAGAGAAGTAAATCCCATTTCAATCCTTAGAGTCAGGATAGGTCCTGGGGACTAAAATTATGTAGGGAAAATCAGCCCACAAGAGATGGGACACTCAAGAGTGTAATTTTGGATACAAAGGGGAAAATTCCAGTGAGAAAGGAAAATGGGAGTTATCTGAAGCTATTTGAGCATATGCACAAGGAATTATTCTTGTCTGAAATACTATTTTTCTTCATTGTTGCTACTCTCCGTAATATCTGATTGGCACCAGCCAACTTAGATTTTTAAAAGATAAGCAAAGAGGTCAAAAATAAGGACAGATAAACAGAGTATGAATATGAGTGTAGCATTTTTCAGTGTTTTAAAAAATAGTTTCAAGAGTTTAGGAAAATTCAAACAAAAATTTTTTAAAGCTATATTGGAGAAAAAGAGTAGAATCAAAGAAGGCACAGTACTTCTGCTTAGAGTGGATGGAACAAAGATTACTTACAGCAGAAAGAAGGCAGAGCTGTTCAGTTTTTACTTTTTCTCATTCCAAAAGAATGACCTTTGCCCTGCAATTGCCAAAACAAAAATGGTTAATAGGGATTTGTTATCATATAAGGAAGGAGATAATAAGAAAGGATTTAGTTTCCTGTGATGACTTCAGGTCACTTGGCCCAGATGAACTGCATCCTTGACTACTGAAAGAAGTGACAAAAGTGCTAAGCCATTGTTAGTTTTATATTTATTTTAATATTTAACTTTTATTGATAGTTTTTCTTTTTACATCACCTTCATTTGTGAATGAATCCTTCCCTTACCCAGTAAGTCATCTCTTCTAATAAAGAATACATAAGAGAGAAAAAAGCATTGGCAAAACTAACCAAAATGCTGCATAAAAAGGGAACTCTATCAAATGTTCAAGCCTCCAGCAATACCTTTTTTTCTCCTCTCAGCCAAGTATCATGCCTCACAGACAACAGAGGCAATTCACCCTAAGTTGCTGCTTCTCTCTTGCTCCACACCTCAAAACCCTTAATATTAATCTCCTTAACCATTCTCCTTTGTTTCATTCTCTGATAAAGGTGTTCCTTCTTGCCAGTGATAAACTTTCTTATGCACTAATAGCACCACCCACATGGTACATAAAGTGCATAGAGTACTGTGCCTGAAGTCAAGCTGAATTCAAATCTATCAAATTCAAATAGCTGTGTGATTCTGGGCAAGTTACTTAACCTGAATACCTCAGTTTCTTTAACTGGAAAATGCAGATAATAGTAGCACCTATGGCTCAGAATTGTTGTGAGCATCAAATGGGAAAATATTTGCAAAGCACTTAGCATAGTGCTTGGCATATAGCAGGTATTTAATAATAATCCTTTCCCCTTATTCCTTCCTTTCTTTCTGCCCTTCTCCCTCACATCTTCCCCAAGAGCTCACTTTTGAAAATACACTCCTTATCTTTTGGTCTTCAATGTGCTCTTTTTACTATTTCTTTCCTAGTTACATCTAATCCCCATGTTTTGTGGTCCTTATTTCTTGAAATACCGAAAGATATGATTTCTGCTCCATCTTAGACTTCAAAGGCCAATGACAGACCAGTAGATTAGGAAGTCTTTCTTCTTCCCCAAAATGCAACAAACTCTTCCCAAGGCCACTGACTGGTTTTGAACCTATCATGACTGTGCTTTCTATATATTCTAAGTACTTGTGGGATATGAGTCATCTTCAAAAGACATCCTTCTCTTTGAGCTAACTGATACTTCTTCCTTGTCTTAACTTGTTACAGAATAAATAAAACAAAATAAAACCTTTTAATGGCATGTATCCTAAATTATAAACAATGGGTTTTCTTTCCCTAGCACTAGCTATAAGATAGTGAACAATTACCATACTACCCCAAAACGTGTTCTCAAGAATAGAAAAATAAAACTCCATACCACTGAGAGACCCAAACCAGGAAAGAGTAAAGCAGAAAAAGATAACTCTAGAGCAAGGCTTCTTAAACTTTTTCCACTTCAGCACCTGGTCGCAACCCACGGTTTAAGAAGTGCTGCTCTAGGGGAAGCTAGGTGACACAGTGAATAGAGCTCTGGCCTTGGAGTCAGGAGGACCTGAATTCAAATCCAGCCTCAGACACTTGATACTTACTGGCTGTGTGACCCTGTCATGTCACTTAACCCCGATCGCCTTGCCCAAAAAAAGGAGGGGGGAAAAAAAAGCGCTGCCCTAGAGCACTCTCAGTAATGAATATTGATATAAAAATTCAAATAAAATTTTAGGAGAGAAAATAGCAACTAGCAACCATTCACTAGGATCTGATAATATGTAAGCTCCTTGAAAGGAGATATTACTTCATATTTCTTTTTCATCTTTCGTATTCTTGGCATCATACCTAGTATGTAATAGGCATTTGATAAGAGCTTATTGAGTTGAATTTTGTAAAAGGAATGCAAGTATATTTCAACATAAGGAAAACAATTAGCATAATCAGTCATACAATTAGCAAAAATGATGATTATATAAATAGAACAAGAAAATACCTTCAACAAAACACACCACTCCTAAAATGCAAAGGCATGGCATTTTACATGTCAGAAGCATATATCTCAAATCAAAAGCTAGCTTTATCATGGAGACATGCTGTGAAAGCTTTCTCAGTGAATTTAGAAACAGAGCAAGCATGCTGTTTTCCTTCACTATTATTTGACTTAGTATTAAAATACTAGCTGTAGCAGTAAGAGTAGAAAAAGAAGTTGAGGTATTAAACATTGTCAAAGAGAAAAAGGCAAAATTATCCCTCTTCTTCATAGATAATATAATGGTTTGATTTGATCACAGAAGTATCTATGAAGCTGTCTAGTTCAGTCCCCTTACTTTACACATGAGGAAACTAAAGCCCAGAATGATGAAGTGACTTGCTTAAGTAGAAGTGCCTGGATTCATGTCCTGGTATCCTCTGACCCAAAACCTGGGGCTCTTTCCCCAGGCAATCCCCACTGCAATCCCCAGGCAGTGAAGAATCAGTGAAAAAACTAATTGACAAGCTTTTGTAAAGCATCAGAATGACTGCACAAAAATACATTATCATTTCCTAGATTAATTTTTCTAGGAAATTTTTAAAAATTATTTCAGAAATGTTTTTTAATAATTTTTACATGTATATGTTTATTGCAGCAAAACAATGACCAGAACAGCAGCAGCATGAATACTCATATGATTAGGAATCCAGGTTAGTTTTATTTATTGTTGCCTTTCAAAAAGAAACATAAATATTTTGTATACATTCTAAAACACTTTAGTTTTGCTCTCTAACTGTATGTTTATCTTATTAACACGAATTATTGTTTTCATGTTGTTTTTTGCCATCCAGGTGTATTTATATGTTAGAGCTAAATAGTTCTGTTTCCTCATGAATATATATTATACATCAGCTACATTTCCTAAGTCATTTCTAAGATTACTGAAAGTTATTTTATTTAGAATCTTGTGGTTAATAATTAATACAGCCTAATTAGATAAAAACTTGTAAAAATATTTTAGCTTAAATGTTTAGTTTTCCTAATTGCCAGGCTCTAGGTATCATAGACTACCCTTATGATATTAGCCATAAATGAAATAATCTTTCCAGTTTCCATATTTATGAATAGTTCTTAATGACATTATTTTGTAGGAACTGTGCAAATAGTGAAGAGAAAAGAAATACTACTGTTACCTCTAATTATTTTCACATTCGATTAAAAAAGTAGTACTCCCCTCCCTTCTACTACCAAACATTTATCTGGCTCCATTCAGGAATTGAACTTTGCTTTTTGGGGGGTGGGAATTGGAGATATCAGTGTTTCAGTTATTTTTAATTCCCTTTAGTGTTCCTTAATGTTGTAAACATAAGTCAGACTTTTTTCTTTTTACACAGATGTGGAAAGACTAAAAGAGAACACAAATCATGATGACAGCAGCAGGGACAGTTATTCTTCTGACAGACATTTGTCTCAGTATCATGACCATAAAGATAGGCATCAGGGAGATGCTTACAAAAAGAATGAGTCCAGGAAAAGATCGTATTCATCCTTTAGCAATGGTAAAGATCACCGGGAGTGGGATCATTACAAACAAGAAAGCAGGTAAACTTTGCCATTCATTTTATAAAAGATATTTTGTGAGAAATAAATATGTTCAAATAAACTTATAAGTAAAAAAAACTGTCTTCAAACTTTTTTCATATTGTATCTTTTGAATTACCCAGTAAGAAAAAAACCCATTCTTCCTCTGCTTTTTTTAAAAACAAAGTTACAGTAGGACACAAAACTATTATAAGTCAAATAATCTTTCCTGAAACTTCTGAATAATTTTTTCTGAAACTGAAAATTTCCTGAAATTAGTTTCAGTAAATGTCTTATGAAATAATGTACATTTTATTCTCTCTGCTAATATTAGTGTTTCTTTTCTAAAAAGCTTTGTATAGTATTTTACTAAAATTCATCTTCTAAAATCTAAAAACCAATTGTAGCTATGGACTTAATCTCACCAGGCTTCAGTTTCCTCATTTGTAAAATGAAGGTGCTGGACAACTTGATATCTTAGGCCTAAGTCCAGTTCTCAAGCTTATAATCTTTGTCACTAGAAAGTGATTCACTATTGTGAATCACCCCTACACTCCAACCAAAGTGTATTTACAAAGCTTAGAATGAATTCACTGAAGGAAGCAATACTTATCCTACAAGTTTTCAATGTCTTAAGAATAAATGTTATTTTCCCCAATTGTCATTTCAATTTAATAAACCCATGGTAAGTGCTTGTTAATTGATTACATAAAAAGCTATTTTTAAAATCTTTTATTATTTTATTATAATTATTTATTATTAGGCATTTATTAGATTATAGCAAGAATTCATGGTTCCTGATATGAAATGCTAAACCTATGCATTATTTAAAAGAGCAGTGAATTGTTTTCCATGATAAGTCTGCATTAGTAAAATTTAATTTTAAGTACTGTCTTTAGTTTTGCTAATAGACTTATTTTCTCTCTCATCAGATACTACAATGATAATAAACACAGAAAAATGGATGACCATAGGAGTAGGGATCACAGATCAGTTTTGGAAGGAAGTTTAAAAGACCGATCTCATTCTGACCACCGTTCTCATTCAGATCACCGGTTGCACTCAGATCATCGATCAAGTTCTGAATATTCACACCATAAAACTTCAAGAGATTATCGGTATCACTCAGATTGGCAGATGGACCACAGAGCCTCCAGTAGTGGCCCTAGGTCACCACTGGATCAGAGGTCTCCTTATGGCTCAAGATCACCTTTAGGTCATAGATCTCCATTTGAACATTCATCTGATCACAAAAGTACACCTGAGCATACTTGGAGTAGCCGGAAAACATAACAAATACTGACATTGCCCGTCTGGACTTTGTTTTAGCCATATATCGTAAATTACCACAGTAATTGCCTTACATGACTTGAAAGATAAGGACAGGATCCTCCATCAGTAGCAGTATTGTTACTTCTTTCCAGGATGCAAGGTCTATTATCCCAACAGAAGAAAAATATTTTTGTATTTAAGGATTATGCTGCACTGTGTTACAAAGTGTTGTAGCACTTTTTTTTTTTAAATAATGGAAAATGTTTACTTTTTACAGGGACCTCAACACTGCCCCATTTAGACTGGATAAAATTCTTTGTGTCAGTGATTTTAGGCTGAACTCCATTTAAATTATGTTTGTAAATGAACTTTACACACTGACCTGTAATCATGTTTCAGGAAGGAATGAAGAGTTTTGTTTTGTTTTGTTTTTCCTTAGCAAAGAACTCTCAAGGACTTTGTTCACTTTCCAAAGCTACTTGTTTACATTGTACACTGCGACCACCTTGCCGCTTCTCATCACAAGCTTGAATATTTAAATTCTGTACCTATGACTGTAAAATATCCAGGAATTCTTGTTTGTGATAAATTGTAATGCCTTTTTACAAAATAAAATAGCTGTAAATTATTGTAAATTAATTAAATGAGCTTTCCTTCCCTCCCCCTCTCAGGCTTTTTTTAAACTGTTCCTTTCCCCACCAACTCAGGCCTTCTTGTCATAAAAAAGGACAAAAATCAATGTATTAACAACACTTTTTAATAAATTGTCTTGATGGAATCACTGTTTAGAATGTAAAAATGGGGAAAGGGAACATTATTCCATTATATTATCCTTTAGGGTTCCTTTTATATTGGATATTTTATTAGATACATTTTTTTAAAAGCCAGTGTTGTGATTGTTTGTAGTAATGACATGTACTATCTAAACTGCATGCTCTGAAAACTTTTTTTTTCAGATGCATTGGTTTAAAAAAAATACCTTTGTGAACACATCAGAACCCAAATCAGCCAAAATTCATTGTAAATCCATTTGTTTTCCTTTTTAATGTGGGCAATAATGTCAAATGTGCTATGCAGCCAGTTAATATTTTAGATGAACTGATTGATTGACTTTTAATAGAAACTGTTACAATGCACACTGATTGTATATAGATACCTTCTACATATGACAAATTAAATTTAACAAAAAGGATATGTGGACTCCTGTACTTTTCTGCCTTTTTACTCCCTCAGCACTTAGTAAAATTTTTATGAGCTGCCAAAAGTATATATTTTTTGATAGCCAATTTAATATCAATCGTCAACACTACAGTTATATCTGATTTAAAGATAATGTGGGCAAAAATTATAATAAACAGCTGACAGTTAAATATAGGTCACTGTTTTAAACTGTTTTGGAACTCTGGCTTCTGCAAATATTTTATATTTTCTTGAGGATATTTTGCATGAATATTTGGTTTCTTTGAATTTTTAGACCATGTAAAATGTTAAAAGTCAAAATCTTCAACTTCAAAGAACACAGGAGCCTTTTAATTATGGAAAATTTATTTTTATAAAACGTTATGGAATAAAATGATTTATAGGTGAAGTATATTTTAGAATATTGTTTGCCCTTTAGCTGATTAGTATCTCATTTATTTTACCTGTATAAAGCAATTGAAAATATATTGACTATACTTTAAAAAAAAAAAAAGCAAAGCTTCATCTTTTCAGTCAGGTAGCCCTGCTTGGCAAATCAGTAAGATGTCTCTTTGCTGTTAGATAGGGAGAACCCAAAAGAAAATGCTTCAAAATTTTCAGATCTGTTTTGCCTTATTAATCATCAGCAAGTGATAATATACAGTATTTTTCCTTCAATATGAAAAGTGCAGGTATGATTCTATGATTTTAATTTTTTCAACTTGTTCACATTCTTGATAAACATGGTTTTGTTGCACAAAGTGATAATTAACAGCAGATTTAGCATAATGCCTAAGTGAAAAATCATAACATATTAAAAATATGTTAGGGTTATTTGGTTTTTTCCTTCATTATAACTGTAGATAGACTTCTTGATCTGTTATTGGATGTATTATGTTCAACCCATCACACATTATTGTTACTGAAGAATGGGCTAGATTTAAATCTTACTGTGCTACAATTAGTTAGAATATTTATGTAACGTGAGAATTACTGTGAGAATTATTCTTTTTTTGGTAAGAATCCAAAACGTATGTGAAAGAGGAAATAGCCATATACTCAGAATAAATGAGAGACTAACATGACCACGTAGGTGTTGTTGATGGGAAAGTCCCTGCACAATGACCCTTTTTTTTTAATCTGTGTTCCACTTGCTTAGTCTTTATTTTAGTCCATTTCTGTTTATTTGAGGATGAGAGAAACTTATGCACAGTACTGTATTAAACAGCCACTTTACAATAATGATATACAATAAATAATTCTTATAAAAGCAATGGCCTGTTTGCTTATATAAAGAGATTTATCTTTTTTATTAGAAGATATTTTAAAGTTTAAGCTTTTAAAAAATGGGAGAAACTGTTCAGAATTTGACTGGAATCATTCTAGACCGAATTACCATTTTAATAAAATGGAATCCCTGTCTTTACAAGTGATACTGTAGAGGTTTGTATAATTATACCAATATAGCTGAATAATTATAGAACTTAAACATGTTCTTTTATGTTATCTGCATTGGTTAGCTTACTGCTTTTGTAGGTCCAGCGATTTTCTTTCATGATTGAAAGGTAGTAAGTGATGTACTATTTCTAACTATATAGCAAATAACATTCTGGGAGTGGATCTTCTATGGTAAAAGCCATAAAGATTATATCAAATGGAACTTGTTTAAAATTGACAAACTTCATAAATGTTAGGGCTTTTAGGTATTTTGGGATGCAGGCATTTCTAGTGGTTCTACAGGTGTGTGAAATTTAATCATGAACTAATAAATGTGACTATATGCTTGTAAAAGGTCATGTATTCTCCACATCAATGTATTCACTGTTTAATAATTACAACTTGGTTTAAAGAAATATATTAACATTAGTGGCTATATTATATGAAGGCATGTAGCTTTGTGCTTAAATGCAAGACTTTGAATTTAATTTTTTTTAATGTAAATTGATTGTCAATATAACAGAAGAACATTGAGGAAAGGAAGTATAACTAATGCATTGACTTGTAAACAAAGCTGAGCTTTTCCTTTTCTAAGTGAAGTTCTTGACTATTAATAACGAATTCCTCTATGGCAAAGATTCTTGACCTGGAGGGGGTGAACTTGTTTTAACATTTTGATCACTATTTCAATATGATTGATTTCCATTGTAATGCTATGTATTTTGTACATTTAAAAGCCTTATTCTGAATCGGCTTCACCAGACCGTCAAAAGAATCCATGACAAAAAAGGTTAAGAACCCCTACTATGTAGAGATCTTTTTTAACTCTCTGAAAGATATAATGTCATTCAATTGTAACTAGGTCTACATAGCTTTTTAATGACCATATAATATCCTTATATATTAGGCTCTTGATTCTATTTCCCACTTTGGAATTCATTTTGAAAAAAGACTTTAGAATACAAAATCTGAAGACCTGATTTCAAGCCAAGCCTTTTACGCATATTTTATAACCCAGGGCAGTTGTTTAACCTCTTAAATCTCCTAAGCAGCTGCAGAATAGTTGCCAGTCGGCATTGGTAGAGTTACCAGTTGGTATAAAAGCATGCTAATTTCCCATATTAAAACACAGAACAAATAATTTCATAATGCTATTTTTTTTTTGGTGGCAATTGGGATTAAGTGACTTGCCCAGGGTCACACAGCTAGTGTCTGAGACTGGATTTGGACTCAGGCCCTCGTGGCCAGGGCCAGTGCCAGTGCTCTATCCACTGCACCACCCAACTACCCCACAATACTGAATTTTTAAGGACTTTTTAACACATTGGAAAGTATATTAAGGCAAAAAAGTACTAGGTTCTTCTTGTGGGGACTCCATAATCAATTAGTCATTGACAGTCATCTCTACCTTCATAAGTGTGCTACTGACTAGTACAGTTTTTGAAACTAAGCAAGGGTTCTATATTTTTCATCTACTTGGAAATGACAGCAAAATTAAAGTTCCCAAAGTACTGAAATGATTTTTCCTTTTGTTCAACCTACCTCAACCTTGATCAGTGTGTACATATATATAGTGACTTGCACAGAACAAACCTTATAGAGAGAATTATGAAATGGACAAAAAATACAAATACATATTTATACTTACATACTTAGTGTATACAACATTCACCACATGTGATTTTGCTAAAATAAGTTTACTGTTCAAAATCAGACCTTAAGATGAAAATAGCTTTTTATTAGTGAATTAAGCAGATACAAAAAATTTCCTTGAACCCAGTAGGGAATAGAAGGATGAAGTTAACTATCTCAATTTTCTTCTGTTTCCTGTATTTCATTATGTGTTGTTTGAGAGTTTATGTTTTCTTTACTTGTTGGAATATTTACTTAGGCAGCATGGTATAGTAACTAGAGGGCTAGTCTCAGCATCAGAAAGATCGTGGGTCTGATTAACTCTGGTACATACTGATTGTGAAACTGGGCAAGTCATATAAGTTTAGTGCTCCAAGTAACTCTGAGGCAAGAATTTTTTAGTAGGTTCTGAGCTGCAACGGCAGAGGGAGTTCCCTTCCCTGAAGTTTCCTACATTAAAGAAATTATAGGTCCAGTATTAAAAAAAAAAAAAAGTAAGCACTTTGTCCATGAACCAGTTATAGAAGTTATAGTTATAGAAGTAACTTTAATATGCAGAATGATTCTTGGAAATATTTGTTATTCTGGTTTTTTATTTGTTATTCTGGTTTTTTCCTGTAACTGGGTTCATCAACATTTGTGAATTATAACTTTTAATTTTAATGGGAAATCTTGCATTTGAGACCTGTTTGTATGTGTTTTGGCTAAGGTTTACTGTAAATATACCATCATTTTGAAGGCATGTTTCGTAAGTATATTATTTTATATTTATTATTTTTTATTATCCAAGTGTACATTTACTTTCTAGAATACAAAAGTGCTACATAATAATATTAATGGAAATAAACTACATAACTATGACATTTCTAAAATCTAGTTGAAAAATTTGCTTTAGCATTTGATATTTCTTTGGCTAACTAATATGAGTTATTTGTCTTTGTTGTATTTTACACAGACCAACTGCCTGGGGGCATCTTCAGTCAGATTGCTATATTACATCAAGCATTCATAGAAACGTAGACCACTAGGAGCTGGAAAGGATTTTAGAGCTGGACCACTCCACCTTTGTCCTCCTAAGGGATCCATGAATAGATTTCAGCATCCTTTCCATTTCAGAGAAATCCATCTTGTATTTTCAAATTTCATCATTTGATTCTTGAGGGTAACATAACGAGTTTTCCCAGAGAAATGACAGATTTATAGAAATTTGCTAATGAAATGGACAACAAAAATAAATTATTAAAAAAATTTTATGAATAAGCAAAGATACATCTTTTTTTGTACCACGACCCAGTTACTTAATGTATAAGATGTTTCTAAAGATCTAACATGAGAACTACAAAACAGGACAAATAGTAAAATTATTACTACCAGCAGTTTAGAGATGTTTTAAAAAGACTCCAATAAAATATTTTTTTAAATTGATATTAGAACAGGTGTTCTATTGACATTTGTCAATAAACCTTATTTATTACAGTGTATTTGGTCTGGTCATATGCGGCTTAACAAAAAGTTGGTCTGATTTCCTCTCTTTTCTCTCACCAAGTCAACTAAGCATACTTAAAAGAACTGTTACCTCAAAAGAGCAAAGTTCTGGTGTCACAGACATGGCTTTCAGTGAATTAGCTCCTGTCCAGTGTATGGGGCGCACTGGAGCCTGTTTGGTCTAATAAATCTAGGGAAACAGCAGGATGTGGCTTTCAGGAAAGCTTGGTTCATGTTTCAGCTCTGATACAGTTTGACTTAGAAAAAAAAAATCCCTTCACCTCTGTTGCCTAGTTTTTTCACCTGTGAAATGATAGGATTGAAATAGATCATGGAATCTTAACCTTTTTTTTTTTTTTTTTTGCTTCATGGGTCCCTCCAGTAGCTTGGTGAAGACCAGGGATACTTTTCAGAATGATGTTTGTTGCCTGCTTTCATATTTCAATTCAATAATTCAAGGAAATGCTAAGTTCCAGTTAGGGGTTAGTGAAGGTAAAGATTTTTTTCTCCAATTTCATAGACCCCCTGAAATCTATCCACAGCCATTGGGGAGAGGGGTCCATGGACTCCAGGTAAAGAACGTGGAGTTTAAAATCCTTTCCAGTGCTTAGTGGTCTTAAGTTTTTATGAAAACTTGTCATGTGGTGATTTGACTAGGATCCCCAGGCAGGTGGAAGCCAGCAGTGCTCTGAATGGAAATCTCTCATGGAGTTTGGAAACCACAGATTGCAATGCAGTGACCAAGGACCCTCCAAGGCAGCTTGAAGACCACAGAACTGTGAGTCATAACAATCTATGAGGGCTAAAAGCTGCCAATACTAAGCACAGGTACATTAGGGGAAGTAGAAACCAGGAACAGGAGCTAAAGACATTGAGGTCAGCACCAAATAGAGCTCAACCACCCCATCCCAAGGGGTTAGGAACCTGGCCCTGGCACAAAGTCCCAGAACTGAGGCTGGAGATATGAGGAAACAGGAGAAACCATATAGCAATTATGAAATACTATGGTTACAAAACACTCTCCAAAAAGGAGTAACACTGTATCAACTAAAATGGAGAGCCTTAGGAGAAAAATAAAATAGCTTGTCTACAAGGGCAACCAGAATAGCTGGATGAAATGAAGCAAGAGACACAAAATGAAGTAAGAGCTTTGAAGGAAAAAAATGGAAACGGTTGCTTAGAAGAGAAAGCAGGGAAACTTTATTCAAGTAGCACCCTCCCAGAAAATTAGAATGGAGCATATAGAATTCAATGGCTCCAGATGATGACAAGAAATGTTAGAACAAAAATAAAAAGGTTGGAAAATTCAAAGAAAACATAAGGTGTCTAGTATCAAAAACAACTGACCTGAAAAACCAGTCTAGGAGATATGTTTTAAAAATGACTAGACCTCCTGAAAACCATGACTAAATAAAAACCTAAATGTTATAATTCAAAATATAAATGAAAAATGCAAAGATGTAGTAAAAGTGAAAATAGAATCCTCCAGTCACTTCCTTAAAGAAACCCCAAATTGAGAACTGCCAAGAATGTCATAGCCAAAATCTAGTTCCAGTTCAAAGAAAACAAAGAACTTTGAAGGAATAGTTAATCAAAGTATTGGGAGAAATAGCAGAACCATCTAAGTTAGGAATCTCAATATATCCCTTTCAGACTTAGGCAAATACAACAACAACAAATAAATATTAAAGAAGTATACTGGGGTGCCTCAGCACC